ATTCAATAACCCTTCATTTTTCTTCATGGTCAATTGTTTGTGTATGTGACATGTAATTAATGTGAAAAAAGATGTTTATGGTTACATAATACCGTAAGTAGTTTCTGATTAAGTCATGCATGATTGACCAGTCAACCATTTACTTTTCCAGAAAACAAAAAGTTTAGAAAAAAAGAAGTTCGTAAAATTGAAAAGAGTTCCTTAATTTGAGAAAAAAAATCATGAATTCAAAAGAAAATTCAAAAAATAAAGAAAGTTCATAAAAAGAATTTTGAAAATGTTAAACACATTTGAGGAAAAGAAAAATAAAAGAGAAAAACAAAAAAGCCTGTTCAGAAATACCAAAAAGCAAAAGGAAGAAAAGATCAAAAGCTTCCATAAACTTCCTAAAACCCGTCCGGATAAGTTTCCAGAAGCTTTCCAAAAACCAGGACAAACTTCACGGAACCTGCTTATGGGCTGGCCCGTCAGATAAAAGGGTGTGCGGTCAGTACGGTTAATGCATTACCGACACCTAAAGCGCTGAATAGAAATCGACGGCTTTAGAACCATTTTTCCTGATTGGGTATTTTCTACTCCCATCATTTCTAAATATTTGTCTTTCTAAATATTTTAACAAGTAATTATATACGAAGCATAATGAGTGAATCTACACTTTAAAATATATCTATGTACATTTGTATGGGATAGTCCATTCGAAATCCCTAAGAAGACAAATATTTAAAAACAGAGAAAGTAGTTGCTACTCGTTGCAGAAGATTATTGACCGTGAGTAGCGACGCGAGGAACAATTGGGACGAATAATTTAGCTAGTTTTGTGAATGTTATACTTGGGTTTTTCAAGTTTTGGACAACTTTAGGTTTGCGCGAAATCATTAATTAGTGAGTACTCTTTTCAAAGACCACTCTCTTCTTCTCAGGTTGTGGCGAGTGGCGTGCTGTATGTGCGTCACTTGTTGCAATCTGAGAGTTTTTCTTTTTTTTTAGATCCGTTTATTCAAAGTGTTTTATCTATTAAACCGTGCGCCTAAAATTCGAACCATTTTCACTGCTGGACTCCTCGCGTCAAGATATTTAAAAAGTAAATTCTATATTGATGTTTTGACGTTTTTTTTCACAAAAAACCGATCCGGGAGCACTTTTTTTTCCCTTTTTGGAAGCAGTTTCTGAGAGGCAAGGCCGTGCCTCTCGCAGAAGCAAATCCGTGCCTCTTGCGGAAGCAAAATCGTGCCTCTCACAAAAAACCCGTGTTTTTTTCCGTTTCCGAGAGGGACGACCATGCCTCTCGCGGAAGAAAAAACATATTTTTTTCGTTTTCAAGAGGCACGACCATGACTCGCGTGGAAGCAAATCCGTGCCTCTCGCGAAAGCAAAATCGTGCCTCTCACAAAAAAACACGTTTTTCTTTTGTTTCTGAAGGCATGGTTGTGCCTCTCGCAGAAAAAGAAGAAGAAAAAACATGTTTTTTTTTCATTTTGGAGAGGTACGGCCATGCCTCTCATGAAAGCGAAATCTCTCGCGGAAGCAAAACTGTGCCTCTCACGAAAGGAAAGAAATAGAAAGCACGTTTGCTTTCGTTTCCGAGAGGCATGGCCTCTCGCGGAAGCAAAACCATGCCTTTCATAGAAGAAAACCATGCATCTCATGGAAAAACGCGTTTTTTACGCGCAATGTTTTTTGATATCTTTTTTGTCGAAAATTTAAGAAAGACCGATAAAAACTGAAAATTTGATAAAACCCGAAAAAAAACCATCTAAAAAGCCATGCCGGGCCGAAATTCCGTGCGCGCGGTTCGGCCCATATGGCCAGGTTTTCGCATCTCTGTATGGTGTACCTTCCTCCAGCCGCCGTTCGCCGCCCCGCCATCGCTGCAAGGCTGCAACCCGAGTTCGGTGCCCAACATGTGACGCCATTACGCGCCGCCCTCGACCGGAAAGAGGGCCGGGGGCGACGGCGGTAAGAGCGTTCTCGTCCGCCGGCGGCCGCCCCCGTGCCCCCTGCCGGCCGCGGCGGCTCCATTGCGCAGGGCGTCGGGCTCGAGTTCGTGAGTGCCACAACCCTAAACCAACCCCAGCTCGTCTTCTACTTCTCCTTCCTCCTTCTTATCCCCCTTCCCCCCACTCCTCCGAATTTCCGATTCGCTGATCTCATCTCCCGCCTCTTGATTTCTGCCCGCAGGTGACGCAGCTGCTGCGGAGGAGCGATGAGGGACGACGTGCAGCGCCCCTGACTCCGCCGTGGAGCTCCAGGAGCCGAGGCGGGAGCACGCACGGCGCCTCACCGTGCTGCTGCTGGACATCACCGACGAGAGCACCATAGAGGTAAAGGACGAAAATCGCTCCTGCCTTTGTCCCCAGCAATTTTGCAGGCTGATGCAGTGACACACTGCCGGGGAATGTTTTGTTGTTTCGATGGCAGGCCGCAGCGGCCGCAATTGGGGTGACCCACGAATCTCTTGACTTACTGATCAATGCCGCCGGCATCCTTTCGATCCCAAATGTTATACAACCAGGTCTGCCCTTCACAATTTTTCCATCTGTTCTTCACATCGGAGCACTGCTTTCCAGTTTGCATTCGGTGGGTTATGGGATTATAATGGCTTATCTGAAATCAGGTTGCTCTGATCTCATGTTGCAGAGATCTCATTGAGCAAAGTTCAGAAGTCATTCCTGCTACTGGCATATGAAGTCATCAAGGTAGAGACTACTGCCTTCCTTTCTTCTCCCAATTGTGTCAGCATTCCTCTAGCACCTGCGTCCATTTCTGAAGATTGAAGCAACCATGGAAACAGGGAAGGGTTGCTCATTGGTTGCAGATATGAGCACCAGAGTAGGCTTGATAGGAGACAATGGTTTGGCTCGATAGACATTTGCACCGAATCAATGTATGTTAACAGTAAGATGCATGTTCCATCCAGATTTTACCAGCCCGTTGTTCATACTAATCTTGTTATCATGATAGTTTCCCCCATCCAACGTTTGGTGTATTCTATCCAAAACAAACTGTCATACCTTTCTTTCTTAGATTTTAAAAGTGCACGGATTGGTCATGTTTTGCAGTGACAAAGACTGCATCAGTTGAGTTGGGCAAGAGGGACAACATCGCCTGCATTTTGCTACATCCAGAAACAGTTGACACCGACCTCTCACGGCCATTCCAATGAAATGTTGCCAAGGATAAGATCTTTAGGGAGCTCTTTGCACAGAAGTTACCATCCATCACCGACAATGCCAGAAGACCGACAACGGGAAGTTCTTCGCTTGGGATGGTCAAGAAATCCCATGGTGACCATTGTTTTCAGTCAGTGACTGTCGCCCCTTCTTTTTTTTTTGTGCCTTGTTTTTACCACTCTTCTTTCTTATTTGGAACCGCTTGTTCCCTTTTAGCTTTGAATTAAAAAGCTTTACTCAAGCTCCAGTTAGATATCTGATTTGAAAACCATGACTCTGTGGGCAACTGAGCATATCTTCATTATTGCCTCAGGTGAGGTACGACAATGTTTGCACACGTCCGCGGAATATTCGACCTCGGTGTGGCGTAGCACATGGCGAGGGCGAAGATCTGGTCGGCACCCACACCAAGGGTGCCATTGTAGAAGCTTCCATTTTCGGCGGTTGCCGTGGTGATGGTCTGCAGGAGGCGGTAAAGGTTCTTCTGGTCCATCGCTGTAGTTGTCGGCAGTGGAGCACGAGATCAGGGATTGGTGGACATCGTCCACAAGTGCGCCTACGACGAATAGGAGTAGCAGAAGGTGGAAGCATGGAGTTTGAACCATGGCCGGCCAGTGGTGAATTTTTTTGAAGGTCGGCCAGTGGTGACGTTTTTTTGAAGGCCGGCTAGTGGTGACGTTTTTTTGAAGGCCGGCTAGTGGTGACTTGGTCGACAGGATAACGTAACACAGCCCTTGGCAAGGCTAATTATATGATATGTTGGGAGTAACTAGGACTTTGGCACTAGCTCAGCAAATATTTTTTTTGAGGGAAATATACGAGCTCAGCATTTGGTAGATTCTATTACCACAATACAAAGACTCGTAGCTATCTCCCACCGAGGTCCAAGGTGACCGAGTCTCCGTTGATTTTTCTCTTGATTGCTACCAGAATTACATTTTTTGTCACTATCAAAATTCAAAGTTGATTGCTAGTGGATTATTCGTAGCATGAGCCATATGGACACACTTGTCATTCAAGGCACAGCCAAAATTTTACAAGTCATGCAAAGATAATAATTACACATCTCTGTCAAAATGCATAGCATTTCTCAATAAGTGAAAATAATAATTTGTTATAGATCAGCAGAGATTTCCTTTTCATCAGTATGTAGCAAAAACTGAATCATTCGTTTGCCTCATTGCAGGAAAAAAAACCTGTACAGGAGAAGACATTGTACCATAAAACAACCCTGAAAAGGATTAGCTGATCAGCCAGGAGCAAAGGTGAGTTCTACCTGTACCTTTTCTTAGCCGGCATCATATGATAAAAACGAATCCATAGTTCATTACAAAGTCTTAGGGCTTCTTTGATTTGCATGATGTTTAAAATGTGGGGATATGATTTTTTTTTTAGAAAATAGATGTCATTTCCTAAGGAATTGAAACAATTTCCTAAACCCCTAAAAAACAGAAACCATTTCCTACAGGAACTGAAACCATAGAAACAAGCAATACAAGTTGCTTGGCTTGTAGCACAGGAAAAGGCATGAATTAATCTTCCTGAGGAGTTAGGTGCAGGCCTAAGAATTTTCTAATCCTTAGGCCTGCACCATTTGGCTACAAGATTTCTTTGAAATTTCTAGCAGTACAAACAGAGAGTCTTTGACAAAACGAAAAAGGCCAAAGGGTGTCAGCAGGGACATATTTAGCTCGTGGAATACTGAAGGCAATGCACACGGAGTTGGGTTCACTCTCTGTGTGTATATAGTATTACAACTCACTACTCACCCAAGGGTGTCTCCTGTGATTGTGTCTCTGGACTCACCAAAGTCACCACTGCTGCCCGGCCATGGCTTCACCTCCATGGGTTCGCCTTGTGCTGCTACTCCTAGCTGCCGTCCCCGCATGCCATGGCCGCCCACTTTTTGACGGCGATGCCGTCATCGATGAGACGCAGCCCTTGCGGCCATCCATGATCTCATGCTCAACTGTCGGCAACTACACCGACGGAAGCAAGTACCATGTGAACCTCGACCGGCTCCTGTCGGCCATCCCCGTGGCCGCTGACTCCAATGGCTTCTTCAATGGCACATTTGGCGCGGTGGGCGACGAGGTCTTTGGCATGTTCATGTGCTACGCTGACGACGCCGACTCTGAGTGCCAGGACTGCCTCACCCGTGCCCCTGAAGGTATCATGAAGGTGTGTCCTCACAGCAGGACGGTCCGTGCTGTCTACAGCGCCTGCACCATCCAATACTCCAACAAGTCCTTCTTCTCTGTTGCTGACCTTACCGTGGTTGACATGGTCGACCTTTCGGTCGCGCCCCGGCTGGAACAAACCCCTCGCCGAACTTGGAACAATAGAGACCCTGAAGGTTGGCACCAAGGAGTCATACTTGTAGGGTACGTTGTGGACACTGCCGGTATGAGCCATGCAAGGTTTAAGTTGATCCATCGGCTCATGGTGAAGGCTTGCCAAAGGGATGAACGTATTTGTTAGACCTTTCAGCCTGAGCATTGATAGTTGTGGATGACACTAGGAGAGTTGGGACAATTTCTTGTTAGACCTTTCAGCCTGAGCATTGATAGTTGTGGATGACACTAGGAGAGTTGGGACAATTTTCGTTGGTTTATTTCTCACACAATGCCATGCCAACCTGAGGGGTTGGGGATACATATTTATAGGCTGCTAGCCAGCCAAGGCATATGCTAAGATGCTGCTAAGATGCCAGTCTAAGATGCTAGTCTAAGATGCTAACTGACAGTCCTTGATGGTCAAGAACAGAACTCTATCCTAACAGCCAGTCCTTGATGGTCCAGGACTTTATCCTCCTAACTGCCACAAGGACCATGTGCTGCAGCCCCACAAGGACCCTAGTACACAGACTTATCCATCATTCTCCCCCTAAGTCTTGTACGTCGTCTTGTGGGAGAGTTGAATCATCCCAATCCTGGAGCAAAGTTCGAGGAACTTGACCCTCCCAAGGGGCTTGGTGAGCAGGTCTGCGAGCTGATCCTTGGTGTTGATGTAGCTCGCCTCGATGCTCCCTTCTTCCACACAGCTGCGGATGAAGTGATACCTCAGTCGGATGTGCTTGCTCCGTTCGTGGAACACGGGGTTCTTTGCCAGGGCCAGGGCGGACTTGCTGTCCACCAGGAGCTGCACCGTTCTGGTGTCTTGAACGAGAAGATCACCAAGCAGTCGAGCAAGCCAGAGCGCCTGAGTACAGGCGGTGGAGACCGCTATGTACTCAGCCTCACAGCTGGACAGGGCCACCACCTGCTGCTTGACTGATTGCCAGCTCACGAGACACTTGCCGAGGAAGAGGAGGATCCCGCTCGTGCTCTTGCTGGTGTCGATGTCGCCGGCGTGGTCGCTGTCGCTGTACCCGACGAAGTGTGCCGCCCCAGGGCACCTAGGGTAATGGAGGCCGTGGTCGAGGGTCCCTGCTATGTAGCGGACGATCCTCTTCACTGCCTGCTGGTGTTCCGACGTTGGTCGCTCCATGAACCGACTGACATAGCCGACGGAGAATGCCAAGTCCGGCCGTGTGTGAGTGAGGTAGCGAAGGCTCCCCACAAGGCGTCGGTACTGCGTAGCATCCACTTCCTCCGTCGTGCTGTCGCGACTTAGTTTCAGCCTCTCCTCCATCGGAGTGAGAGCTGGATGGCAGTCGGTGAGCCCAGCTAGCTCAACGATGCGCTTGGCGTAGGCTGACTGTCGAAGCGCGATCCCGGAGTGGTCCTGGTGCACCTCAATCCCTAGATAGAAGGAGAGGAGCCCCATGTCACTCATCTGGAACGTGGCCTTCATGTCTTCCTTGAACGCCGCCACCTCTGCATCTTTGGTGCCGGTGATCACCAGGTCGTCAACGTAGACGCCCACCAGCAGGGCATTTCCTCCACTCCCCCGTCGGTAGACGGCAGCCTCATGCGGGCTCTGCTCGAAACCCATCTTCTTCAGCGTGGAGTCCAGCTTGGCGTTCCACGCCCTGGGTGCCTGCCGCAGGCCATAGAGAGCCTTGCGCAGGCGGAGCACCTTGCCCTCCTGGCCGGGAATCGTAAACCCCGGTGGCTGATGCACGTAGACTTCCTCCTTCAAGTCGCCATTGAGGAATGCCGACTTAACGTCCATGTGGTGGACACGCCAGCCCTCCTGGGCAGCCAGCGCAAGGAGAAGTCGCACGGACTCCATCCGTGCCACGGGAGCGAAAGCGTCGTCGAAGTCGACTCCTTCCTGCTGCAAGAAGCCTCGGGCCACCAAACGAGCCTTGTGCTTGATGATGGCGCCGGCTCCATCCCTCTTCAGCTTGAACACCCACTTAAGGGTGATTGCGCGGTGACCTCGAGGGAGATCAGCAAGCTCCCAGGTGCGGTTTTGCTCGACCGCATCCATCTCCAACTTCATCGCGGCGCGCCATGCCGTGTCTCTCTCGGCCTCTGCAAAGGACCGTGGTTCGCCGTCTTCACACACGAGCTGTAGCTGCGCCTCCAGGTCACGTGGCACCAGTCCTGGCACCGGCTGGTCGCCGAGCACATTATCCATCGTACGGTACCGCAGCGGTTCGCCTCCATACCATGCGTCGACCCGCTCCTCGTCGTGAGTGAGCGGGGAAGCGAACTTCATCGGGTTGTGCTCTGCGTGAGCTGGTGCTGATGAAGACGAGCCCGGAGTGGCGACCGCCGGGGCTGGAGTATGCGGCGTCGCTGGTTGTGGTGTCGTCGGTGTAGCAGGCGTCGGAGTCGATGTAGTTTTGGGGGCCGGGGTAGACGTGCCCGGTGAAGAGGAGCTGCTTGCTCCCCCAGCTTCCTTGAAGTGAGCGTACTCGACAATGAAGTCGTCATACGTCGGCGTCGAGCCGTCGTCCACCGCCTTGTCCCATTGCCACCCTCGCCCTTCGTTGAACACGACGTCTCGCGCTGTGCGCACACGTTGTGTCTTTGGGTCGAGGATGCGGTAGGCCTTTGAGCCCTCCGCATAGCCGATGAAGACTCCCGGAGTGCTCCTGTCGTCGAGCTTGCCGATGTGGCCGAGCTCCTTGGCGAACGCAAGGCAGCCAAAGACCCTCAAATGAGAGACCGCCGGCTTCCGCCCATGCCAGGCCTCGTACGGAGTTCTGCCGTCGAGTGCCTTAGTAGGAGAGCGGTTGAGGATGTAGACGGCCGTTAGCACCGCCTCTCCCCAGAAGACAGCCGGCATCCCTCTTTGCTTGAGGAGAGCCCGAGCCATCCCCACAACTGTCTGGTTGCGCCGCTCGACGACGCCGTTTTGCTGCGGGCTGTACGGCGCGGAGTAGTGGCGCTGGATGCCCTCATCGGCGCAGTACGACGCGAATTCAGCCGCCGTGAACTCGCCGCCGTTGTCAGTGCGCAACACGCGCAATTTGCGGCCGCTCTCCGCCTCCACACCAACCTGCGCACGCCTGATGGCGTCCGCCGCTTCTCCCTTACTGCCGAGGATCATCACCCACATGTAGCGGGAGAGATCGTCGACGAGCAGCAGGAAGTAGCGTCGACCTCCTGGTGTGGCTGGCGTCACCGGGCCGCACAGGTCTCCGTGCACGAGCTCCAGCTTCTCCTTAGCCCGAAAACTCGCCTGTTGGGGAAAGGGGAGTCGTCTTTGCTTTGTCAGTACGCAGATGTCGCAGAACTGCTCCACATGGTCGAGGCATGGCAGGCCTCGCACCATCTCCTTGGCACTTAGACGCTTCAGGGCCTCAAAGTGAAGGTGCCCAAAGCGCTCATGCCACCGCCACGCCTCGTCGTCTCGACGGACAGCGAGACAGACCGGTTGTGCCACCTGCACATCAAGGACGTAGAGTCGATTTTCACCTCTGGGCACCTTGGCGAGAAGGCGACGCTGGCGATCCCAGATGCGTAGGACCCCATGCTCAATCAGCACGCGTGAGCCGTTCTCATCCAGCTGTCCCAAGCTGATGATGGAATTCCTTAGCGCGGGGATGTAGTAGACACCGGTGAGCAGCCGGTGCTCTCCCATCTTGGTGGTGAAGATGACGGAGCCGACGCCCTTTATCTCCACAGCGGAGGCATCCCCGAACTTGACGGAGCCTCGCGCATCGGAGTCGAGCTCGGCGAAGAATTCCCTTCTACCGGTCATGTGGTGGGTGGCACCGGTGTCGAGGCACCACCCCGTAGCCTTGTCCTTCCCGGAGCCATCGCCGAGAAGAGCGTGTGCTTTTGGCTCATCGAGGTGGATGAAAGCCTTTGCGACTGGAGTCGCCGAGGGTAGCTCAATGCTTGCATGCGCCATGAACAGAGCCGTCTCCTCCTCCTTCGCCTGTGCGACGTGAGCCTGGCCTTGTCGTGGTTGCCGACACTCATTGGCCCAATGGCCAAACCGGCCACAGTTGTGGCAACTGTTGTCTTGTGCCGGCCTGGGCTTGCCAGCGGCGCCGTCCTTGGCGCCTCCGCGGGCGTCACCTTCGGCACGTCCTTGTGCCCTGCCCGGGGGGCCTCTTCGCGCCTTACGCTGCTTGCCACGCTTGCGGCCGCCCGTCGAGGAGGAAGGCTCCCCCTTCTTCTTGTCACCAAGGCTGGGATCCCACTGCTCCCGAGTTAGGAGCAGCTTCCCGCCGGTGGTGACGGGCCCCGAGGGGGGCTGTGGCTCGTCGGTGTCGACGACCTTGAGTCGACCTATCGCCTCCTCGATCGTCATCGTGGAGAGGTCCAGCAACGACTCGATCGAGCGAGCCATCTGCTTGTACTTCTCGGGAATGCACCGAAAAAGCTTCTCGACAGCTCTCTCCTCGGTGTAGGTGGCATCGCCAAACTTCACCATCTTCTGCAGCAGAGTGTTGAGACGGAGAGCAAAGTCATCAACGTCCTCACCTGGCTTGAAGCCCAGGTTCTCCCACTCCTTACGAAGTGCCTGTAGGGTGGACTTGCGAGCACGGTCGCTGCCGATGCGTGCTGCGGCGATGGCGTCCCAAGCCTCCTTGGCAGTCCGCTTGTTGGAAAGCGAGAACTGCATCTCGGGCGGGACTGCGGCGATGAGGGCGTCCAGCGCCCGTCGATCCTCTAGGTGGTCGACGTTGCTGTCCTGGACTGCCTCCCACATGCGCCGCACCTGGAGCCTGACCTTCATGATCCCGGCCCACTCGACGTAGTTGGTTTTAGTGAGGGTAGGCCACCCAACACTGGAACCAACATCCCTGACCACAGTCCGGACCTCGTAGAGGCCGCGGTCCTGGTCGTTGCAGCCGCCGTCACGGTGCGCGCCTCCACCTGGAGCGCGGGCGTGCTCGGCTGCCCACTGCGTCGTCCGCTCCTGCGCCACTTTGGCGCGATCTGCGTCGGCACCGTCGTCCGCAGGCGCGGAGCTGCTGGAGCTGCCGGGGCTGCCGCGGAGTGCCTTGGCATCCGCCGTAGCCTCACGGGCTGCTTCTGCTGCTGCTGCTGCTTCTACCTCCGCCCTGGCTGCTTCTACCTCCGCTCTGGCTGCTGCCAGCTCCGCTGCAGCCAGCCTCGACACTCTTGCCGCCGCCGCAGCCGCTGCTACAGCCGCTCGCTCACGCTCCTCTGCCACGGCGCGCTCGGCCTCTTGCCGGCGCCGCATGCTCGAGGTAGCCGTGTGCTGAGAGCGACCTGCAGACATGGCTCGCTGCAGGGGGGCTGTTGCGTGAAGAGGAGGCTGATGAAGACGAGCTGCTGCTCGACAGTCCGGAGGGAGGAAGGTAACCAGAGGCAGACGGAGCAGCTGCTGCTACCGACTTGGGCTGCTCACAGGAAATGCTCAGGGTGCAGGTTAACGAGGCTCTGATACCACTTGTTAGACCTTTCAGCCTGAGCATTGATAGTTGTGGATGACACTAGGAGAGTTGGGACAATTTCTTGTTAGACCTTTCAGCCTGAGCATTGATAGTTGTGGATGACACTAGGAGAGTTGGGACAATTTTCGTTGGTTTATTTCTCACACAATGCCATGCCAACCTGAGGGGTTGGGGATACATATTTATAGGCTGCTAGCCAGCCAAGGCATATGCTAAGATGCTGCTAAGATGCCAGTCTAAGATGCTAGTCTAAGATGCTAACTGACAGTCCTTGATGGTCAAGAACAGAACTCTATCCTAACAGCCAGTCCTTGATGGTCCAGGACTTTATCCTCCTAACTGCCACAAGGACCATGTGCTGCAGCCCCACAAGGACCCTAGTACACAGACTTATCCATCACGTATCGCTGAGGGCAGACAGAAGTTCACCGATCCGGAGTGGGTGCAGGCGGTGGTGCAGTGCACGAGGGATCTGCCGGCGAGTGAGTGCACCCGCTGCCTCACCTATTACACCGATCAGCTGCCACGGTTGTTCCCAAACAACAGCGGTGGTGCCATCAAAGGGTCAAGCTGCTACCTGCGCTACGCCATCCTTGCTGACAAGCCACGCCCGCGCACTGTGCGGCTTGAGAGGTACCGGTATAGGGAGGGATATGAGGAGGAAAATGAGCATGAGAGGAAGATGGAGACAGCACGCAGAGAACACCGACGAAAGGTTGTCATCATCGCCCGACGAAAGGTTGTCATCATCGCCAGCCTTATCACCATCTTGGTGGCGCTTGTTATCTGCCTGATCGGCTTGTTGGTTCGGTTTGTGTTGTATCCATGGCGAACATGGTTGGCAGCGGCCATGGTTGCCATGAGATCCGTGTTGTACCGGTGGCGAACATGGGTGGCAGCGGCCAGGGTTGCCATGCGATCGTACATGGAAAGACCTCCTAAAGTGGCAGCCTACTTCCACGGCAGAAGTGCACGCCAAGAGGAACTCGAGCAAGGGACTGGGCCGAGACGATTCAGGTATGACGAGCTCACCGCCGCCACGGATGGCTTCTCTGGCAGGAACAAGCTGGGAGAAGGAGGCTTCGGTTCCGTGTACAGAGGGTTCCTCCACGACATGAACCTTCACATTGCCGTGAAGAAAGTGTCCAAGAGCTCTCGTCAGGGCTGGAAGGAGTTTGTCTCTGAGGTGAAGATCATTAGCCGTCTCCGGCACCGGAACCTCGTGCCGCTCGTTGGATGGTTCTATGGCGGTGACGATGATGGTCTTTTGCTCGTGTATGAACTGATGCCCAATGGTAGCCTGGACGCACACCTTTACAAGCTGGACCAGCTGCTGCCATGGGCAGTCAGGTACCAGGTCGTGCTTGGTGTGGGCTCAGCACTGATGTACCTGCACCAGGACACGGAGGAGCGCGTTGTGCATAGGGACATCAAGCCGAGTAACATCATGCTGGATGCGTCCTTCAATGCCAAGCTTGGTGACTTTGGGCTTGCGAGGTTTATCTGTGATGGCCGGGGCTCGTTGACGACCGGCGCAGCCGGGACGCTCGGCTACATGGATCCAAAGTGTGTGTTTGCAGGCAAAGCCAGTGTGGAATCCGACATCTACAGCTTCGGTGTCGTCCTGCTCGAGATGGCCTGTGGTCGGACGCCAGCGGTGGCTGTAGACGGCGATGACGGAGCCGTCATCCACCTGTTGCAGTGGGTATGGGAGTCGCACGGCAGAGGGGCCATTCTTGAGGCAGCCGACCCGCGGCTGGACGGCAAGTTCGACAAGAAAGAGATGGAGTGTATCATGGTGGTCGGGCTCTGGTGCGGACACCCCGACCCTGTCTTGAGGCCGTCCATCAGGCAGGCCGTCAGCGTGCTGCGGTTGGAGGTGCCGCCGCCGAGTCTCCCGGGGAAGATGCCGGTGGCAACCTACCTGATGCGGCCGCCGGCTGATGATTCTTTTGGTTCCTCGGTGACCAGCGGCAGCGGGGATGCCAGCACTACTAATTCTGCTAGAGATAAAGTCGAGTAGATGACTGGTGCATCCCCGATCTGGGCCTCTGGGACCGTTTCAGAAATTTGCAAGTACTACTACGTAGTAACTAAAAAACACTTTGTATGTATGATGTGTGATTGGACTGAACCGAAGTCTGGTAAAATTTGAGCTATTTCAGAATAATCTTGTATCAATTGACGATGATGACACGGCCGCTTCAAAATAGTAATTGCATGCATCTGCAACTAGGGTACACTTTCTAGGAAGTTTTTTTATGAACGTAGGTATATCTAGACAGATAGCATTGCCAGAGTTTCGCGAAGAATATTGGTCATAACTAAAGTAAAAGCCTTGTTCCCCTGACACCATTATTTTTGTGTGTTTTGCAGTTAAGTGATTGCCGTTTACTAATGACAATGTTCTACCTTGTGTGACTGGTCTGGAGAGGATATACATAGTATGGTGTAGTAAAATCAGCAAGTTGACATGAGACAAATTCAATATATTGGGGTTTGGTTATCTGTCTCTTTCCTTGACAGCTCAAGCAGAAGAAATTTCAGGTGACTAGGGACCCAATATGGGCTCGTAGACATGGTCAGAATTATCAACGACGATTACTACCCCTTGACCGGTGACAAGGACGTCTGGACATGTATCTCACACTTGGTGCAGGTATAAATCATGCATTAAATCAGTGTGGATTATTTTTCATCAGCATGTAGCAAAACCGAATGAATTCTTCATGTGCTTCACCATATATGATATAGGAGGAAAAATCTGCACAGAAGCAGAAAAGATCAGTCAGGAGCAAAGGTGAGTCCATATCATACCTTCTTTTTAAACTGATATATAATACTAGATGAAAACATCAGGGACCTATGCTCAAGTAAAAAAAAGAACTATAAGGTGGGTCAAACAAAGGTATAAGTTGAGCAAAGTGTTTACTTTTACCTGGTAGTTGAGTCCACACCATATCACTATCCGGCCAATGCATATTGGAGTTTTAGCAAATTCACGAATGCAGTGCATGCTGTTAAAGTTCAAAGCCACTTAACTAGAGCCATCAACATTTTAGTCTCTGCACATGCAACTATTGATCATGTATGTTCTTATTCATCATTTGTGGAAACTTCAACGTGCCTAGAACGGTGCGGGCACCTGCCCATTTGGCTCATATGATAGTCATATGATCCACGCTAGAACTTATAGACCCAGTCTCTACCCCTTGACAGTGACTGGACACCGGTTGAAGCTAAGCTACGGGAGCTTGCTTTAATTTCAAATCAAATGAATGATGTGACATGGCTAGTCGCTTTCTGAGCGAAAAGTGCCTGCAGCTCCCGGTCTCCACTGCTCTTGGTATTTGAAAATTTTGAAAAACACACTTTTCTTGCTAAAAAAATTCCTAAATCAAATACGTGGATACATACACACATTCCTAAGGCCTGGTAAAAAGCTGAAAAAGAAATACTTTGTATTTTGAGAAATATAAAAAAGAGAAATTTCTGATATAAATGGGATCCATTTTCTCCTATATACTGTCAGAATTTTGTTTTTTTCTATAGCTCAAAACAAAGCGAGATATCTACCAAAACTTGCCACGGGTATTTGGAATGTGTATATGTATCCCTGGGAAAAATTTCAGCTTTTTTTAAAACTTCAAAAACACAAATTTCAAAATGTTAAATATAGGGAGCAGTGGAGCTCGGGTGCTGCAATCCCTCTCTCCTTTCTGAGTTGAATTATAACACGTGGTAGGAATCCCCTTTCTCGACATCACAATGTTTTTGTCTTGCTACTGCTCTGACCAGGATAATTCAAAAGTTTAGTCGACGGAACTTGTCTATATTATCTCATTAACCTCCAAATCCAGTTTTGTTTCTATTTCACTTCTTTATAATGCAAGAGAGAAAGCCCTCCCAACCTCCCCTGCATCATACAGTATATGATAAACAAATCCTTAAGTTTATTGCAAAGTTCTTTTTAGCCGATTTATTACAAAGTTTCCAAGCAATACGATGAGGCCAAATGGTAAAGCTGTGAGTGTTGACATAAAAAGAGAGTGAAGTGTTACCTTTTTCTTTGGCAATTGTTAGGCGGCAATTTGGTTCCAGGATACACATATTTTCCAAATTGTGGAAAATTTAAATATCCAAATAATTCTTTTTTTTTCATGCATATATACACAGATGCAAATCTACATATGTACAAAACATTATCAAACAATATGTCTATTTTTAAGCTACACAAAAATGGTAAATTTGCGCATCCATAGAAACAAATAGTAATTCAACTTTGGGTTCACATATTTGTCTTTTTTTTCCAAACCACAACTAAAAGGGTATGAGTACTACAACTCTCTCCAACCTCGTTCTCTCCTTCTCCTTCTCCTTCCTCAGATCTGCTTCGTTTGGTCCCTCCCCTCTCCCTCCGGCCTTGCCGACGACAAGCAGGGTGAGGGTCCCTTCTTCCCCATAGTTGTGGGTAGTTTATTTGCATCCCTAGTGGCACTTTGACGCTATGTCATCTAGATGGTGGAGGTGCTTGCTGATGGAGAGTACTCTCTCCATCTCATCTTAAGTGTAGTGTCAAAAACATCTTTATATTATGGAACGGAGGGAGCAGCTTATTTGCGTACTTGCTCGTAGTCGCTTTCGTACTTGGTGGCTACCTAGGAGCAGTTGGGTCCAAGCCCTTAATAATGAATAAAGGTCCTTTGCCTTTTCTTCTTCCAGTAATCCCCTTGTTTTTTCTTAATCTTGTGGCCAACCAAAAAAGGACTACAAGGTCTGTCAACTTTGGTGACCTTGTAGTCGATCCTTAAAATATGAAAAATACCACGAGCCGGTAGAATAATGAACATGGAGCAGGGCTCTCTGCGCATATAGGAGTACCTTTATCAAGGGGTGTCTCGTGTAAGATTTTGTGTGGCGCACCACTCACCAGTACCAGTACCGTACCACTGGCTGGCCATGGCTCCACCTCCATGTGTTGGTCTTCTGATGCTGCTCCTACTCCTAGCCGTCGTCGTCGCATTGGTATGGCCGGCCATCATGTGCACCCGGCGAGGCTGCCCGTCCATGCGCTGCGATTCGTTCGTTCGAGGCACCGCTACCGCCTGCCGGAGAAGATGCCAGGCCGGCAGTGGGCGCCGGCTACTTCGGTCTGTCAAACTTGCTGAAGTCCAAGTCACCGCTTGACTTTGCCTGCCTAGTCTGAAATTTCTGAAAAGGACATAGGCCGACTATTCATCAACTGAACGATTGCCTTCTACGTCTAGCTGAGAAAAATAGGTGTGATTTGTGGCTACATGCCTACAAGACTCGCCTAGAAGACTGACTTCATCGTTTTTTTAACTTTGATTGAATTTGTCGTTGCCTAGAAGACTCGCCTACAAGACTGACTTTATCGTTGCTGTGCCCATCCTGTTCTAGCACCGAGAGATCCAATATGCACCACTTCCTCCTCCTCTTTCTCATTTTCTTGCTTCCCCATGAAACCAGCTACTACGCGGCCGCAGCTTCCGGCGGTGGCGACTTGTGCAGCCGCCGGTGCGGCGGTACCACCGTCCCATACCCTTTCGGATTCTCCCCCGGCTGCCCCATCGCCCTGTCGTGCGACGCCAGCACCTCCACGCCCATCCTCCCATACATAGACATAGGAGATAACGGCACCATGCACCGTGTCATCGCCTTCAACTCCACCAGCTCCACGATGGTCGTCAACCTCCCTCCATCGTGCAGCCGCAGTGTCCCCGAGGCCAGGAGGGAACTCTCCGGGGGCAACTACGGCGTGTCATCTCGCACCGGTCTTTTCCTCCGCGGCGGCTGCAGCGGGATCAACGCTTCGGCGGGCGCTGGATGCAGCGTGCCGGTGGACGTCATGTCCAGGCTGCTCCGCACGGCGCACTGCGCCGCTAACAGCAACGGCACCTCGGCCAGTACCGTGGTTTGCGATGCTTCCGCCGCAGGGAATGCCACTGCATACCAGTTTCTGCGGTGGGAGAAGTTGGAGAAGCAAAAGTGCGACGACGTGCTAACCTCCACGGTGTTCGTGCTCACGGCGGAGTGGGCGCCTACGCTGGAGTTCGGCGTGGCCGAGCTCGGCTGGTGGCTCAACGGGACGTGTGGCACCGGCGGGGGCGAGCGTTGCGCGGCGAACGCGATGTGCACCGACGTAGAAACGCCTAGCGGGGAGTTGGGGCACCGGTGCGGGTGCGTGGCGGGGATGGAGGGCGACGGCTCCTCGGCCGGCGACGGATGCTACCTCGGTGAGTCTTGACTTGTCGCGTGAGTGCTTAAAAAAGAAATCCATATACAGGCCGCACGGTCTTGGACACAAGAGATCTCGTGTTCTGTCGCTGGGTGGGACCAGGTGCCCCTGTGCACCACGTCAGCTGCACTCACAAGTCGTGCCTGCGGTCGATCATGCGCGACATAATCCAATCTCCATAGTTCACACTTGGCAAAATAAAAATAAAAATGCGCGACATAATCTAATCTCCTATTAGTTCACACTTGGTCAAAAAATAAATATACGAAACAGTTAGGATTGTCAGCAAAATATGGGTTCAACATTCCGGGAGAAGCTAGGTAAAGGCTTGATTTTCAAGATTCTGGGAGAATCGGCAAAAAAAATTGGGCCTCAATCTCTTACTCCATTCGTCTCATAAAGAGCGTTTTCACATTAGTTTGCAATGACGCTGACGGGAGCGACGGCGGCCACCTCACTGCGCACCCAACACCACAACGGTGCTCGCGCGTGACTCTAGTCATGGGACTTTAGTCATGTGACTATATGGAGAGGCTGCCTTATAAGGGCTTAGAAGTTGTCTCCATACACTGTGCCCAGCTGCCTCTAGGCAAAAAAGCTTAGCCTACTAAAGAGTTTCTTACATCTAAGCGATGATGCTAGCCGTGTCATCTAGTTTTCGTTTCTGCTCATCCCTGAAGAATCTCCATATGAGACATCAGATGCCTCCTGAAAAAAAATCTGAAGCCATTAAGAAATAGCAAAACCGTTCCTCAAAACAAGCTTTCAAATTGCAAAAAACTACACTACAATTCAGAAGTTTAATTTTGACGTCTGTTATTGTTTGTTGTCCCGTTTCTACGGAGAAGGTGCATCCCTGCGTGGTGTCCCAAGCTCGAAGCGCCGAAGACTACCCCTGCTCGTCAGCCTGTGTGGTGGGTTCCTGCTTTCTCTTGGCATTTTTTCCCTCTTCCTCGTACACTGGCGGAGAAGGCGTAATACCATGAACAAGACAACCAAACAGATGCCGAAAAAGGCAATGACACACTTCCATGATGAACTTGTGGAGGCCGAGCTGGAGCAAGGAGCCAGTGGCCCCCGACCATTTTCCTATCAGGAGCTCACTGTCGCCACCGACAACTTCTCCGAAGATAGAGCGCTCGGGAGAGGAGGCTTTGGGTCCGTGTACCGAGGGTTTATGGGCGACATGAATCGCGAAGTGGCTGTCAAGAGGGTGTCTGAGACCTCTCGACAGGGCTGGAAGGAGTTCATCTCGGAGGTACGAATCATTAGTCGGCTTAGGCACCGGAACCTTGTGCAGCTCATTGGCTGGTGCCATGGTGGCGAAGAGCTCCTCCTCGTCTATGACCTGATGCACAATGGCAGCCTCGACACTCATCTCTACAGACCGGACTGCGTGCTGACATGGCCGGTTAGGTATATTTACTTAATTAACTACTTGAAAAATAAATTGGTTTGGCACTTCTTTACTTAATTAACTGGAGTAGTATTTTTAGGTATGAAATAATGCTTGGCCTAGGTTTGGCGCTTCTGTACCTACACCAAGATACGGAGCAGCGCGTGGTGCACAGGGATATCAAGCCAAGCAACATCATGTTGGACGCGTCCTTCACTGCTAAGCTAGGTGATTTCGGCCTTGCAAGGCTCATCAACGACGGCCGGAGATCGCACACGACCGGCATAGCTGGCACAATGGGGTACATAGATCCGGAGAGCGTGTTGGCCGGTAGGGCGAGCGTTGAGTCAGACGTGTATAGCTTCGGGGTTGTTCTCCTGGAGGTCGCTTGTGGGCGGCGGCCAACTTTGGTCCAAGAAGACGGAGATGTCGTCCACATTGTCCAATGGGTGTGGGACTTGTACGGCAGAGGATCAGTCCTCGACACCGCTGATGAGTGGCTTAGGGGGGAGTTCGATGAAGGGCAGATGGAGCGTGTGATGGTCTTGGGACTCTGGTGTGCGCACCCTGACCGTGGCATGCGGCCATCCATCAGGCAAGCGGTGAGCGTGCTGCGGTCTGAAGCGCCACTGCCGAGCCTACCGGCGAGGATGCCGGTGGCGACGTATGGGCCACCGACTAATCATTCGAGTTCCGGAACTTTGGTGCTGAGCAGAGTCAGTGGCCGGTGATGACGGTCCCATCGGAACACTAGTTAAATTCTCCAGTTATTGCTGGGTCTCAGTTCCTTATGTCGGTTATAAATCATGCACTAGCAGGAAGAGACAAATATACAGAAACAAAATGTTGCCTCCATTGAGCATCTATGAAACAAACACCATGTATATTGCCGGATCATCTTTATTTGCAAGGAAACTCTTTCTCTTCCTCAGTTTCTTGCTCTTGGCTTGATGTCCCTATGCACCGAAGCGGATCTCTTCTTCCTCTTCCTCCTCAGTTTCTTGCCTCCCCATAAAATGGAGACCTTATCCACAAAACTACATTAAATTTTGCATTCCTTTGTTTATTTGAGAAGAGGATTTATATTCCCGACCTGCATGTTCGATGTTTTCAATTTGATTATGATGAAATTTGATCCGTTATGTGTATGTGCAGGCAATGGTATGATTTCGCTTGTTTTCTTGCTAGAGTAGTCGTTGTCTTCGCACTAATTGGAAGAGCTCCCCCTTTTGATTATTCATGAATCTTGGTCATGCTTGCTTAATCAAATCAGCTGCGAGGCACTATGCTGCTTGATCGGTGAGTTCATGTCTGGATTACGTACATCGATGAGCTCCGCCGGAGCCTCGGAGGAAACTTCTTGCTAAACTCCAAATCGCCCCCTCTCCTGGCCTGATCTATGTGGCTTGGCCTGAAATTCTGAAAGGGACAGAGGTTGACTCTAACATCTCCACTGAAGAATCGCTTCTACTTCTAGCTGAGAAAAAATGGGTGTAAATATGTGGATACAGGCGAAGTATCAAATGAAAACTGAAATTCGGTGCAAATCTGGAAACTTCCATCGTGGGACCTTGGATCAATAGCGAGCGGCAGAGATCAAAGGTGGGAGCACTAACCAGCCACTTAACTCCATTTTTCACATAACCCCCTCTTTCATTAATTAGGTAACTCCCTGTCTTATTCTACCCGTTCCTATCCTGTGTTTTGATTTTCGGCCGAAAAAAGTGGATTTCGGCCGAATTTCGGCCATCTCGGCCTGGGGCGAAAAGTATATTTAGACCGAAATTGCTCAAATTTGACAAAATTTGGTCAAATTTAAGTTAAATTGCAGTCAAATTTTGATCAAATTTCAGCCGAAATTTTTGAAAATGACCGAAATTCGGCCATCTCGGTCTAGGGCGAAAAAAAGCTGAAACCGAAAATCAAAACACAGCTCCTATCCTTTCAAGTTATAACCCAAATCTCGCCGCCGCCTCATCTGACTTATGCGACAGCGACCAGGCGAGCCCCCGCGCGATGGCGGGTGCTGCACCACGCAATGGTGATTCGGCGGCCTCAGCGCTACTTCAGGAAACGACCACCCGGCGCCCTCGGGGCTGCTCCGACGCGACGACGAGTCTGACGGCCTTGGCGCTGCCCGTCCTACCCGTCCCACCCTAGTGCGATGGCAGCCCGCCGACCTTGGCGCTGCATGCCCTTCGAAGCTGTTGGTCTGTATTTGTTGTCGTCCAAATTCTAGTGCAGACAATTGGGCTGGGCCAGCTTTTGGTTAGCTGTTCATATTCGGTTCCTTAGCTGAATGAATGCTAGTGTTCAAAAAAAAAAAAAACTGAATGAATGCTGTAGCGTGCAGCCTAAAGGAAAATTTAAGTTCCCCAGAAATCCACTATAAAGAAATCACAGAGTATTGGAGCAACAATAACAAGAGACCATCTATGAAGAAAGGCAGCAGATGGAAACCCCCAAATGAAGATTACCTGAAGATCAAGTGCTCTGTTTCAAGAAGCAAAATTTAAACTGACCTTTTATTTTAGTTCTGCTTTCTATTGTGTGGTGACCCAAGTCTTGTAATTAAATTTTCATTGGCCGAGTGTAATCTCACCCTCGCCCCCAACTCTCAACCTTTGTAAATGTACTCTATCTTATAATGAAATGGTTCAAGCCAGTGTAAGTCCGCTGTAGCTCCGTCAAAAAAAAAAGTCCAACTCTGTAATCTGTATCTTCGTTTTTGTTTGTTTTGGTCGTTGCAATTCTGTGTGGTGGCTTTCCCCTCATCTCCTATTCTAATATATTCACATACAACTCTTCGAATTTCTGATGTAATCAACGGATCTATGATTAGTACTCCTACATTACTCAGACCTCACGAGCCACTGTGTTTTTTTTTTTGACCCGCACGAGCCACTGTGTTACTTCCACTACCCGTGAACTGGAACATGTAGTTAGGAAAACGGCCACACATCACATTGATCTCCCTGAGCTCTCATGGCACCATTTGCAGAGAGAAGCTTCAAGTATTTTCAGTTTGTCGATGACCAGCAACAATCACATTCAAAAACTACAGGGAAGTTGCACAACTCCAGTCTCCAGTACCTATTTTTTTAATTGCACAGCTCCAGCACTAACTTTTTGTTTTTGCGGGTGTGCTCCAGCACCAACTGAACAGCAACTTTCCGTGCACAAGCTTCAACATATCCAGGTAAAGTACTTCAGAGAACAGAGTTTGTGCTGGACAATTCTTCAGAGAACTGCAAAATCAGTGCATACAATTCTTCAGAGAACGACATAGCGTGGGGGCAACCCGCGGCTGTCGAGTTGCCCTTCGAGGTTGCCACATCCGGACGCCGCTGTGCTTCACGCAACCTACACTGCAGGTCACGGCCACCGTTACGGCGTCGCGTGGAGCTCAGAGGTGCCGTTAGCGATGCATGGCTGTGTCGCTCTACTTCACCTTTGGGGCTGCGCCGGCGAGCTCTTCGCCTCCTACGCAGTCCCAATCCCTTGCCGCAAGGTCCACGTCGTCGGTGAGGGAGGCTCCCTGGGCCGACGCCACGGGCACCCTCGCCAGCGCGTCCCTTGACTCGGCTTCTCGGGACTGCGCTCCCCGCCGAGGGGAGCTTCGGCACGGTGCGCGGCTGCGTCGCCGCAGTTGGGAGCTCCGTCAGCCCGCCTACCTCCTTGGCATTCACCGTGGCAGCAGCGCCATGGTACGGGGCGAGTTTGGTTGGATACGGCCAAGTAATCTGCTAATCATTGAGATAAGAGGGGGTTTCTGCTAATTGACGTTTAAGTGGCCGGTTAGAATTCCCACCTTTGCTTTGTAGATCTAATAGCTCACACGGCAAGTTTTCAGATTTTCACTGAAAATCAGTTTTCACTCGATACTTCGCCGTGGATACAAGGCTCATAATTAATCCGCTTGCACCAAGTGGCGAGAGCTCGACTATGCACCACCTCTTGCTCCTCCTGCTCGATCGTCTTCTTGCTTCCCCATGAAACCCTCTCCGGCACAATGGCCGCCGCCTCGTGTAACCGCTGGTGCGGTGGCACGAGCGTCCCCTACCCAGTGAAAAAAATAGCATGCTACAGGATTTAGCGTCACCTTCTCCAAATGCTATAAAAGCTATTGTGTGCTATATTTCAAAATAGTGTTTTCCTAAAAATATTAAATACCCACTCCGTTTCAAAATATAGTGCTTTCTTTATTTTCGTGCTTTAACTTTGACCATAAATTAAATCAACAAGATCGACTGCGACGGGAGCAAAAGTTATACCAGTGAATTCATATTTAAAAGAAGTTTTCAATTATATAATTTTTTCTCCCGTCGCAGTCGGTCTTGTTGATTAAATTTATGATCAAAGTTGAATCTCGGAAAGTGCGGACGCACTATATTTTGAAATGGAAGGAGTATATCATAAAACTTAATGCCTACATAATCGGCAAAGAAAGGGACACTCCAAATTAAACAGAGAATCATATGGGATCTAAGCTCGGGGCATGTACACTCCTAATTTATAAGAAAATGAAACACTTCTAATTAAACAGAGAAGCATCGGTGCCTAACTTATCGGCGCTGGCGGTGTGATTGACATCGGCATTGTCTTGTTACAGTTGGAGGCATGGCCGACGCCGCTAATTGAAGGGGGATGGAGATAAGCTGCTACCGTGAACGGACTGCCACTGCCGCCTTCGCTCATGAGTCATGAACGCCGCTCGCGTCGCTGTCCTTGGTCATGAGCTAATGAAAAATTGGTGACGAGTTGACTAGGGTTTTTTTAAAAAGAGGATGACCCCCGGCCTCTGCATCTGGGTGATGCATACGGCCACACGAGTTGACTAGGTTAGGCTGTATGCGTTGCGTTTGCGTCTGAGAGAGCGAGAGTGAGTTGGGCCGATGTGATGTAGTTATGCCTGATGGGTTGCTATGTGGTACATACTAAAACGCTACAACGTCTAATTTGTTTAGCGTCGGAATAACACGCTATAGGGCGAATAGCACCGTAGCGAGCAAATTAGCTAAAATGTAACGTGGCCTTTCTAGGTATGCTATAGAGACATACTCCCTCCATTCCAATATCTAAGGTGTATTATTTTTAGCACGTTAACTAAGGCACATAATTATGTACTATTTAGGACGAAATTGCCCTTGTCTAATTCATATATTAGCGGCAATAAATCATTTAGGCTAGGAAAAGAAGAGATACACACAATCAGGAGAGAGATAGTTTCCTTTTGTTTCTCTATAAGGAGAGATACATGCAATCAGGGGAGAGATAGCTTCCTTTTGTTTCTCTATAAGGAGAGATACATGCAATCAGAGGAGAGATACTTTCCTTTCTCTGGAGGGCCACGATCGAAATTACGAGGAATTAGAACAAATGCACCTTACATTGTGGAATTTTATCAAAAAACAAATACACCTTATATAAAGGAATGGAGGGAGTAACGTCGAAATAGCACGCTATTTTTTTTCGTTGCCCCTACCCCTTCGGCTTCTCAGACGACTGCCCCATCGCCCTCTCCTGTGATGCTAACACCTCCACACCGATCCTCCCATACAAAGGCGACAAAGGCAAATCGCCATACCATGTCGTGTCCTTCAACTCTACTGCATCCTCCCTCGTCGTCTATCTCCCGCCGTCGTGCGCATGCAGCGTCTCTGACGTCAGGAAGGCCCTCTCCGGCCGCAGCTATGATGTCTCGCTCGGCACCATTCTGATCCTCCATGGT